ATAGGGGATAACAGTCTGTATTTAATGAATAACTTCTTTAGCCTCTAAGACGCAGCTAGTCTCATCCTCTTCTCTCTACCAATTAGGGCTTTGTGGGGATGGGCAATCCACCTTATAAAGTTTCAAAAGCTATTCAATTTATTCTACTTGTCCTACAAGAATTTTTGGTTACGTAGTTGGAAGGAATAAAAGTTGAATTTTAATGTTCTACTTTGCATTTTTTACAGTTGTACAACTAAGTCTTACTCACTCGAACTTGACTCATGAATATTTCTAAATTTTAAGTTTTATGTTGATAATTACAAAAACTTGTTTAGGGTAGAATTCAAAGGTCTTCTCAAAACTCAAAACACTTTAAAAGGACATTTTTGATCTCTTTAGTTTCAAAATTATGTTTGGTCATGTTTTTTGCATATTTTTGTGTCTTTTTCATTTTAGCTGGAATGAAAAGAATCCACGTAATATATTGGCATATAGAGAGTTCTATATGGTAAATTCATATCTCTATTGCATCACGTGGTAACGTGGCCGCGCTCTATGAGATGTCATGCGTGATCACCTCTTCCGCTCCTCCCACCTTCCTCCACACCGAAACAAAATGTTTCTATAACTTGGCTGTGGAGTACTGCATAGCCTTTTCCGTTGAAGATATTATAGAAGTTGAACAGTTTTGAGGTTTCAAACTCAGAGATTGAAATGGTCTCAGTATATGAAGGGTTTAATTGCCTTTCTCTTCTGTGTTGAGAAACTAATAAAAGCCTTTTAAAAAGAAGTGTGTTGTTTATGGCTCCTTTTTCCTTTGATTTTTGCATAACTGTCCTTAAGAATGTACTTGAAACTAGGCTGTGTTGTGTTTGATGACTAAGTTACACTATTACTCATTCATTTGCATGATAAAGAAGAGAGAAACTGTGAAAGAAACAATTTCCAACTGAAGCATGAAATATAAATGAATAGCTCAAATGTTTATAATTTTGGCATTTTAATGCTCTTATCTTGGTAAGCAGGAGACAACTTTTTGAAGAAAGTCATAACATCACAACCTGAGATTTCCATCACGGAAAGACACCCAGAAGATGAGTGCCTAATTCTTGCTACTCATGGTCCATGGGATGTCATGCCCGATGCTTTGGCTTGTGAGGTAGCTAGCACATGTCTTAGGGATGGCAGTTGCGCCACTTCACCTAGGAGCCACTATTCAGGGCATTCAGTCAAAATTGATGGTGAAGTGTTGTTTCCATCTAAAAGTGCTTTTGCAGCAGCAATACTTTGTCGCCTTGCCCCTGGACGAGGGAGCTGTGATAATATCAGTGTCATAGTTGTTGATTTGAAGAAGCATTTAGCGAGGAAGGCAAAGTAAAGGAGGTTAGCCTCCTTGTAGAAACTCTGTTTAATGTTGTATGTACCTTTTGGGAACACTTTAAACACTGTTGTTATGTTGGAAAAAGTCATTTCCTTGGTTGGACATCATAGACCCTGTCTGGAAGTGGCAGTTGTTTAGGGATACCTATAACATTTTTCTTGACGGCACATGTTCATGAAAGACTCTTGGCCATTTTACATGAACCTACACTTGGCAGAAAAGGGACAATAGAAAGGTGAGTAGTTGCGAGAAAATGAGGAAAAGCATTGAGGAGGCGTCAGTGTACGTGAGGGGAAGGGGAGGATACTCGGGCTGTTGCTTTCTCTTGGTCAAAAAGAAACCGAGTAAGAGGTTCTTAGTCCATTAAATAAAAATGCAACTGTGTTTTAAAAATAAACACGCCTATCAAAATTAGAAACGGAAACTGCAAATAGCACTTCCCCATTCTAATGGTAGCTAGAATTCTTTTATGCTTACAAAAAGGTAATGGGCGGTTCCCCAGACCACCCTCAGTTTCAGCTTTCATGTGAAATTTGATGCCAACAAAGACGAATAACTATGAACCAACTCCTGCTGAACAGAACAGACGGTTCTCGTTCCCCAATGGTTCTCAAACTTTTTATCCTCCTCTGTTCCCTCTGCGTCGTCGTTTCTCTTGCTTTTAAACTCAACTCTTTCATGGGCTGGAACCTCACCTCCCTTCCTCCTCCTCTTCCCCCCTTCAGGTATTAAACAATCCAAAATTCTTTCGTATTCAAAGTAATTACAACTGCTTTTATTATAGGGGCGGTTAGACGGTGTTAATTAATACATGGGAGCGAAACTCCCTCCTGCAAAACTCGGTGGCACATTACTCCTCGTGCGGCGGCTCCGACGCCATACGAGGGTTGTGGAGCGAGACCGATCCGCCGTCGTAATCCGAATTTCAGGTTCGAGATAAACGAGGACGATGACTTGAACAACATAGTTAAACCCATTAAAGAGCTAAGGACGGATGCGATTTTCTCGGTAGAGGATGATGTCATCGTTCCATGCCATGCCCTGGATCTCGCTTTCTCTGTTTGGCAGAGCTCTTCTCTCAATGTGGTTGGTTTTGTTCCTCAGTTGCATTTTCTAAATCAGCAGGTTGGTACCCATTTGTCTCAAATAATTTAATGAATAAATTATTGGAAATATGGCATGTCCTTATATATATATATATAAACAACTTTATGTGATGTAGAAAAATGGGGTTGCAAATTATAAATATGGAGGATGGTGGACAGTTCGGTGGATGGGTAGTTATAGCATGGTTCTTTCAAAAGCAGCTTTCTATCACAAAAAGTATATGGATTTGTATGCTTACAATATGTACTCATCGATTCGTGATTATGTTATATATATATTTTGGCTATATGAAGTTTTTGCATGATTTATTTCCTTAATTTTGTCAGGTTCTCATATAGAAACTGTGAAGACATTGCAATGTCCTTGCTGCTTCTCCAAATTTTGGGTTAAAGGTAGTATTTCTTTTCTTTAGAGCTTTCATTTTCGTTTTAAAATCCTATAGCTGTTTTGTTCCGGTTTGCTGTGTGTTGTAGTGTCAACTTGATTTTATGGCTCTTTTATAGACTTTTGTTTCAATGTTTGCATTATCTCATGATCTAGAACTAGATGGGATTTTTTGCTAATGAGGACATGAACGTACGTGAAATTAATCTTACATTTCTCATGATTTTGTCCATGGAGTGCTTTAGAAGGGGAAGTTCTTTTTATTTTATTGGTGTTCACTATAAATCGACTCACTGGTTTCTTTGTTGGTTTTAACTTTATTGTCTTTCATCTAAAACATGACTAGTTCATTTAAGCCTTTAAAAAAGGTTATTATTGCATTTGTGCGACTAGTAAAATATGATCAGAGGGTAATGAAGCTAGCAGATTTGGTTTAGGCGACTTTGCCAAAGGGTATGTCTTTGCCGGTGAAATATACCGATTAATGATCTCAAAATGATTCAAAAAATATAATGTTCTTCTTAGAAGCTGCTACTTGTACGTGCAGAATAAGAACAGCACTGATAAAAGCGTGTAGAACTTTCTGAACAATGAGTATCGTCAAGGTTTCAGTCAATAGGATATGAATAATGGGTGTCATCAAGTTTTCAGTTAAATGAGGAAAAGAAATTCAAATATCAAAACTGAGGTTTTACATTAGAATATGGATAAAGAGATTTTACTTTAGATCTGATTTTCCATTGCTGGTTTTCTCTAAAAAGCCAATCTAACATCTAGGTCTACTGTTTACTAATGAAGTAAAACTCATAAACAACTCCTGGGGACTAAAATCAACAACTTATTAACAGATAAAGGCATGTTCACACCCTGCATAATCTGAGATTTTATGAAAAGTGCATGGTGGTGATTTGTTTAGAATGATAAAGTGACATTTTCATTGGTCATTTTCTCTTTCTTTCTTTCTTTCTTTTTTCCAGTGAAAAATGTTTTCTGTAAAATACTTTAAGCCTCCACATGTAGTGAAATTTACCTTCCAGATGCAGTGACTGATGCAAAAAGGCAACTGTAATAAATAGAATAGGTACATGAGCTTTCATTTTTCATGGCGGTTCCTTTTCGTAAGGTGTTGGGTCCGTTTTAAGCACTTTCAAAACATGGTGGTTTTGTATATGATATGGACCTAATTACTTTCAATTATCCATGGAGACCAGCATACAAAAACACTCAGCCATGGCTCTGAGAAATTTTGAAATAATGTTGTTTGGATTCGATGATAAATTTCTTCCAGTGATTTTCACTATTTTTCAACAAGGATATGCTAGTAATTCCACTGTCATTCAGGATGATGTGAAGGTTTGTCTTTTCGTTTTTTTTCTGAGAGGATAATAATGAGGCCTAGTTATGAATAACTTACCAAAGGATTTAACAATCATAAAATTTCATATCTTTGGTTCTCCATTTCCTGATTGTTGCCATTTTTGATTGGCTTTCAGATTGTGGTGAACATGATGAGATTGATCTCAGTTTTCCTTTCTTTAGAGACTGTTTTTAATTGGAAAATCATCAATGAATTTTGCAGGGAAAGTATATGAGATTGGATCCTCAGGCATTAAGCAGTCTGAAAGGGCATACTGCTTTGAGAGATAACTGCCTCAATGATTCTACATCAGTGCCTCTTGTCTCAAACCAATGTCAAAAGCCGTGGATGCAAGGCACGAATGGTTCTGGTAATGACTTCTTCCATTTATTTGGGTTACCGCACTCTTCTGATCAATGCAATCACACTTGGCATAGCCTTTTATGATAGTCCTTTCGTTTTTGTGTTCTTTCAAGATCACCCACTCTTATTTTTAATGCAGATAGCTAACATAATGACTGTTACTGATCTGATTATGTTAGTAAATTGGTTAGTCATATTCGTTTATGCAAAATCTAATCCCATGTCAATATCGACTAATTGGATACCAGATATAAAGCTTACTAAAGGTACACATTGAAAATAATGAAGTAATTACTAATGAGAAGTGAATCATTTCAAGAATTGAAAGGTAGATAGAAAAATTGCAGAGGAGGAAAGTGGTGACATATTCACTAATAGATAGCGTGGTCCATGGCTTGTAAAAGTAATAGCGGTTGGGGCGCGGTCGGGTCGGTCACGACGTGGGATAAACTTTAACTATCCGCAATTTATTATTTATGGGTGTTGGTAATAAATATCCATCATCTGCGAGACCATGCGTGCTGTTGCGGAACTTCCATTAAATCATTGTCTTTGAGGGAGGCAGCCCACACGTGATGGCATTCCAGAAAATTGGTGCAAGCATTTATCCTTCACTTTACCATTTAATAATATATATATATATTATAATAATGCATTTTATTAAAAATAATTAAACAAAACAAAACAGGAGGGATCCTTTGGTACGCTAGCTGGATTGCTTGATTATGTTGAAAACTATTTTATAATAAGTGTTATAGGAAGATTACGTAGACTGACATTTTTCTTATGCGGTATTTTCAAATTCAATCATTTGTCTTTGAATTTAAGTATTTAATTAAAGTTAATAAATTATTTTCGAAAATAGATAGGTATATTTTCTGTTTAAAATTTATATTTTAATTCTTTTTGTCTCAATCGATATAATATATTTAATGAGGAGTAGTAGTTTTTGACATGTAGGATAGGCCCTGAATTTTGAAGGAAAAAGAGGAGGAACTTTGACTGCCCAAAGGGCAAAGCAATTAGTCAAGCTACCCTTCCAACGTGTACCTAAGCTAGTAGCTATCCTTCGACGCAATGGAAAGAATTGCAAAATTATGTTAAATAATTGATGATAAGCACTAATTAAAAGAATTGACACCAAGTATTTACATTTTTTCCCCTTTAAGAAAGGTTATTAGTTGCATTTGTCACTTTTGTTGATTCTCATTTGCAAAGAAAAGAAAAAGAGAAATAAAGAAACATTTGAATGGCAAATAGGGAGAACAGTTGAACTTGGAGGTTTTGATCCAAAAAAAAGAGGAATAAAGAGGGGCAAAAATAAAAAAGAGAAAGTGGGATGTGGGTTGAAGGGAATCCTTGCTTAGGAAAATAAAAATAAGTGTGGGGGGTTGATTTAAATTCAAATATTAAAGAGATGGTCCATGTATGATGCTTGACACAATTGAAAAATAAGGGAACCTTTTATTGAAGAAAATTTCATAATTTACTATTCAATTAGCAGGTTGACAAATTGTATATAACTTAACTAAGTTGATAAAGACGCCAAAGCTAAATGGGAATATTCATGTGGCCAAAGGAGAAAAAGACAATTTGAGAGTAGAAAGCCACTTTGGAGTTAAAATAAAAATAAAACCCAAAAAACAGCAAATCCATCACAGTCTTCTTGCTTAAAAAATAAAATATACTATTAATTCTTGTACCGTATTAATTCCGTGAGGAAAAAAAATATAAACTAATGCAACAATTGAATTTGTAGTTTTCTCCTCTCTTTTTTTTCAAAATAAAAAAAAAAAAAGTAGACTAACACTATCTTTAACTATGGAAATATAGAAAAAAAACGAAAAGGAAAAAGTCAAACTTAATGGCAGAAGAAACAAAAAGTTGATGTCCCTTGAATTTGTAAAAGTAAATCGTGGGCCATGAGGGGCTGCTGAACAGGCTCAAGGTTTGAAAGTTGAGAAGATGCGAACAAGAAATTAATACCTAACCGGGTTTTCTTGCACTTTAATTGCTGGTAATTGGTCCAGTCTTCATTTTGCCTATTGTTATCATATTCCCTTTCACATACCAAGTCATCAATTTTCATTTTTTTGAATCAGTCACAACTCACAACCATTTTTTTCCAGAAAATGGGAAAAAGTAGGAAAGTTCACCCTGTTCTCTCTCTCAGCTACTCAGACTTTAATGGTCTTACTTTTTGTAAGGAAAGAAATTTAAGCATGGAGTTTATGTATGGTTAAAGGAGTTAGGACTTCTAGTTTCGTATCAAAGTTAAAACGCTAGAGAAAAGCAGCAAGGATTCCAAAGTTGTAACTTTGAATACAAGTTTTTATAATAACATGAAATTTGAGTTGGCTTGGATAACTTTGGAGGGAAGTATCACGTAGTTCAATGGATTTGATATTCTCCTTTATTTCATTAATTCTAATTTGGAATGAAAACACTCTCAGCTAAAAAAATCACAAATATTGATGAGCCTGGTTTGGCAGCTCAACACTATATGTTGGTTTTGGTCTGCTGAATTAAAGTGGTGGAAGTGGGCACAAGTGATAATGCAAGACTAGAGAGTTTACAGCTCAGAAGAGAGGAGGGAGTCCCATGGTTTTCCGTCCCTAGCTGTTGTCTTTTTTAGTTGTAATAAACTCTTCTCCTCTTTGTCAATTAATACAGCAAAAGTACAAATCATGACAACCCCACCCCAAAAGGCCTCCCCGCCAATCTCAACAACCAACGAACCCACCACGGAAATCCATTACTACTTACAAAAACACAAAACCAGTTGAGAGAAACAAATTTGACTGCACAAACTCTTTCAACAATCCTCGCCGTTTACGGCCCCAACCCAGAGAAAAGTCATGTTCCATCGCCACTTCTATTCCCTTCAATCCACGTAAATCCATCTTCACACTCTTCGTTTC